TGCCAGGCCCCTCTCCCACGTGCGTCTCCCCTCACCGCAGTGTCTGGTCCCTGCAGCTCGGTGGCGGCTCTGACCGAGTGCATGAGGAACAAGCACCAGGCTAAGTTCTTCCGCGAGCGCCAGGAGCAGATTGGCCACGTGCTGCCCCTGGGCTCCTACCTGCTCAAGCCGGTCCAGAGGATCCTCAAGTACCACCTGCTGCTCCAGGTAAACGGGGGGGTGCGTGCCCCCCCCCCCCGCACGGGCTTTGTGGTGCCTCCCGCTTCTCCCCCACCCCCCACTGCACGGGCATTGTGGCGTGACACCCCACCTGCCACGCGGTACCCCGTTCTACTGTGCGCATCACGATCACCGCCTCGGCACCTCCTCCCTCACCCGCCGCAGTGTGCCCCCCGCCCCCCCCATCCCCACCGCTGTAGCGTCACAGGCCCGCCCCCTCTCCAGGGGCACTGCAATCCCCTTCCTTCCTTCCGCCCCGCGCTGCATCCCCTCCAGCCGCAGTGCCGCGCTCTGAACCCTAAAGGTGCCCGGCGAGCAGCCCCACGGCTGTGTCCCTCAGCCCTGCCCACGCCCTGGGCGCCCCGCCCCTGGGGAGGGCGAAGGGAGCGGGGCCTGTGGTGGGAGCGGGGCAGCGAGCCCTCACGCCGGGTGGTGCCCCCAGGAGATCGCGAAGCACTTTGACCTGGAGGAGGCCGGCTACGAGGTGGTGGAGGAGGCCATTGACACCATGACCTGCGTGGCCTGGTACATCAACGACATGAAGCGCAGACACGAGCACGCCGTGCGGCTGCAGGTGAGTGCTGGTGTGGGTGTGTCCCGCCCCCGACCGCGTGAATGCAGCCCCCGGCACCGCGATCCGGGGAGCGGCTCCGTGGGACCGGCTGGGAGCTGAGAGCCTCGTGCGCTTCCCGAAGGTCCCCGTGGGAGGTGGAAGTGAGCCCCTCCCGGCTGCTGCCTCTGGCCTGGCCACATCTGGGGACCCTTTGCTCCTGGCCCCATGTTCCTGTGCTCAGAGAAATGGCCTCCCGGTGCCCTGGAGCTGGGATGCAGCCCGGCTGGGTGCTGGCAGGGGCCCAAGGCCAGCGGTGGTGCCAGGACAGGGAGGCAGCAGGGCTGAGACCCCCTCGCGGATCTGTGGGGGCGTGTGGCTGGTTTGAGAAAAGCACCACCTGAGGCCGCCTCTCCCCAACCCCCCCAGGAGATCCAGTCCCTGCTGCTGCACTGGAAGGGGCCGGATCTGACGACCTTCGGGGAGCTGGTGCTGGAGGGCACCTTCCGGGTGCACCGCGTGCGCAACGAGCGCACCTTCTTCCTCTTCGACCGCACCCTGCTCATCACCAAGAGACGGGGCGACCACTTCGTCTGCAAGAACGACATCCCGGTAAACCCCCCCCCCCCATGGCTCCGTGGTTCCCCCCACCCCCCGTGGCTCCGTGGTGCCCTACATTGTCGGCAGCCGGTCGAGCTAGTTGGGTGGCATGGCCTGCCTGTTCCCTGTTCCCACCCCACTGTCCTTGGGCTGGGAGCCTCAGGGGGCTGCTGGTGCGGGGAGGGGAGCCCCTGCGGGGGCTAGTGGTGCTGGCAGCATGGGGTGGGGAGCCCTGAGGGGTGGGCAGCGGCGGCCGGGGGGGGGGGGGGGGGGGGGGGGGGGGGCAGCGGTGCTGGCGCGGGGAGCAGGAGCCCCAGAGGGGTTGGCGTGGCCCCTGGGAGCGGAGTCATACCTGGGTTGCTGATGCCGCTCTCCCCCCAGTGCTCCTCCTTGATGCTGATCGAGAGCACCAGGGACTCGCTGTGCTTCAGCGTCACCCACTACAAGCACAGCAAGCAGCAGTACAGCATCCAGGTGAGGGCGGGCTGGGCACCATGCGGGGCAGGGAGGGGCTGGCTGGGAACTGGGGGAGGAGGGCTGGGCACGGGACCAGCCAGTGGTGGTGCGGGGGCTGGGTTCTCAGGGGTGACGTGCGGTGCCCGGCCCCATGTCATCACGTGTCCTTTGCCTCAGGCCAAGAGCGTGGAGGAGAAGCGGGTCTGGACCCACCACATCAAGAGGCTCATTCTGGAGAACCACCACGCCATCATCCCCCAGAAGGTGAAGCGCCCCAGTGCCACCCACCTGCTGCCCCCCGGCCCAAACCCCCCGGTCAGAGCCCCCATCCCCCCGTGGAGTTGAGCGCTCGGACCTGGGGCCCACGCAGACAGGGCCTGACGCCGAGCCCCAGCACCTGGCTTCCGAGGGCGTGTGGTCTGGGCTTGGGGTCAGCCCGGCTGTGCCAGAGCGCAGGGAACAACAGCTGCCCCGTGTGGGGCAGAGGGATGGGGAACGCAGCCCCCCGGCACGCTGGCGGCCGTGTGTCACAGGTCCGGTGTTCTCGTCCAGCTCTGGAACAGTTCCAGTGCCTCCGCCCCCGTAGGGTCACACTCACGCGCTGGGGTGAGCCCCTGGCTTCACCGCCTCCTGGGGCCGAACCTCGGAGCCTTCAGCACCCTGCTTCACACCGTGAGCTCCCTGCAGCGAGTCCACCTGGATTGGACACTTGGGGAAGACTCGTACCCCCCAAGGGAGCGATGCACCCCCAACTGAATCAGGAGGGACTCCCAGCCAGCGCTGTAACAGCAGGAGGGTTTCTGAGATGTCTGGAACACAGCCTAGAAAGTCCTCAGTTAACATAGCGAACGGAAAGTCCATCTGGGTCAGTGCAGAGCCCTCTGACCCCTCCTCAGTCCCAGCACCCCAGCTTCTCCTTCCAGCAGCCCACACTTAACATCCCTCAGTCCTTTGTCCATCTTCCCGGGCAAACATTGTCCCCTAGCCCTGTGTTCCCCAGCTGGTCACACCCGGCTGGCTTCCTGCGGAGGCTGGGCCCTCCATGGTCATGGTAGGTGCTAAATGTCCGGGCAATTGGAGTGGCCATTGTCTTCTGGGACTCTCCATGGCACGGGGGGGCCCAGGCCCTGGACAGCCAGGTGTCAGTCTGCACTGGAGCTCTGCAAAGAGCGAACAACCTCCCCACCCCCACCTAATTAACCATGCAGCACATAGGGGAAACTGAGGCACACCCAGTACTCATACAAACCATTATGAAAAATTCTGACTTTGTTGCCCCTGTGGCACCACTGCGCTGCCCTTCCTGTTCGCTAACCGACTGATCTCTGCACCCCTAGGCTAAGGAAGCGATCCTGGAAATGGACTCCTCCCGTAAGTGCTCCCTCCAGCTCGGTCTGTCTGCGGGGCGGGAGGTGGGGTGTCTGTCTCTGGTCCTCTGTCTGGGGTGGGTCCCGTGGCTGTGCACGTCTCTCCTGCACTGCTGGGCCAGGCCGGTGCCCCATAGAATGATGACCCTGGCAGGGGCGCTGCAGGGATCGAACTGGGGGCTTTTGGGTCTAAAGGCAGTCCTTAGTGCCTGAGCCGTGGGACCTGGCTCTGTGAGCACACAGGCTGCGGCAGGCTCGTAAGCCTGTTTGTGGGGCAGCCACTGGGGTAGGACTGCGTCGGCCTGGGGCCTGCGTGCCAGGCCCGGGCTAGGCTCGTGGGGCCCATCTCGCCCTGCGCTCACTCTGGTGCGTTGCAGAGGGGCGGGACACGTCCCCCTGTCCCCACCCCGCTTGCTCTAGCGCACTGCAGAGGGACGGGACACGTCCCCCTGTCCTCCCCGCTCGCTCTGGCGCGGTGCAGAGGGACGGGACACGTCCCCCTGTCCTCCCCGCTCGCTCTGGTGCGGTGCAGAGGGGTGGGACTCGTGCCGCCTACCCCCCTGCTCACTCTGGTGTGCTGCAGAAGCGCTCACCCGCACTCCTCTGCCCCTTTCAGACCCCGCTTGCTACAGATACAGCCCTGAGCGGCTGAAGAAAGCGAAGTCGTGCCAGCCCATGGACGAGGTGCCCCCGCAGGCACGGCAGGGGCGCCGGCAGTCGGGTAAGAAGAGAGGGTGTGCCGAGGGAGGGTGCAGCCAGACGGGGCCTTGGCATGCCCGGCTTAGACAGCTTGGTGACTAACGCCCATGTGGCTGTCTCTCCCGGCACAGCCCAGGTTTTCCAGGGCGTGCATGGCACCACTGCGGGCGGCTGCTGGCGCTACCCAACGGCTGGTCGCCCTGGGGATCGGGAGCATGGGACAGGATGGCCGCCCACCACCTGAGCCAGTCGCTGCCTCCTGCATGGGGCAGTTGGCAGGGCAGGGAAGGGCCCGTTCAGTGGTCTGCCCCTGGAGGCTGATGGAAGCAGGGGTCCCTGGCAGGCCCTGAGCTAGAGGGGCCTGGCGGAGGAGCAGTGCGCGTTGATGGCTCGGAGGGACGCTGTCACAAGCACCTTTCCGCCGCCACTGGGGAAGCAGCCGTGTAGGTGATTAGATCCACCCTCCTAGGTCGGCCTGGCCGGTGAGTGCACATGCCCCCCTCCCTGCCAAGCCCAAAGGGGAGCGCAGTGCCTGGCACAAACCCCGAGATGCTACTTACACAGGGAGCTCAAGCTGCTGCCAGTTTCCTTCCTCCCCTGCCGGGAACCAGCCCCCTCTGCTCCCCGATCCGTGAATCTCTCCGATGTGAAAACCTGTAGGCAGCGACGGTGAAAGGGCACCGGATCGGCGTGGTCCCCCTGGCACTGGCTGGAGTGATGGCCCGGAAGCCGGGCTGAGGGGGTGTACGGCTGGGCTGTGCCCGCACAGAGAGTGGGCAGGTGGCTGACTCGCTCCCTGCTGCTCTGCGGGGGTGAGGGCGGGACTGGATCGTCCGGGTGCAGGGCAAGCGCTGGACAGTTTGGGGTTGAGTCCCCTCCAGCTGGCTCAGGCCAGAGCCCATGGGGGCACCGGAGATGTGGGGGTCTTTGTGTCCCAGCCTGCAGCCGGCCCCTGCCCGTCCTTCCCCCTGGGGTCGCTGTCGGGTGAGCTGTCAGCGCTGGCTGTGATGGGGGCTGTTGCATGGCCTTGCCTGGCGGTAGCTGGTCCCTGAGGATCCAGCCCTGGTATCCGTCCAGGATCTGCCCTATACCCACCCGTCCTTCTCCGGGTCAGATCACGGAGGTGACCGTCCTGCTCTGTCCTCAGCATCCTCCTAGCACAGAAGCTGCGTGGCCGGTTGGGAGACGTGCTCAGATTGATCCGCTGTCCCTGACGGTGCGGCTGGACCCCCGGCCACCTTGGCTGCTGTCGGGCCCAGGGCCCTGCCTCCTCTGCCAGGCTGGGTGAACAGGCCGGGCTGCCCTTCGGCAGCTTCCCGTGTCTCGGAGGGGCCTGCAGCTCGGCCCTGGGCGCTTGCCGCTCTCCTGGGGGCTCTGGCCTTCTAGCAGGGCAGGAGAGCTCTGGGCTGCGAGCACTACTGTGCCTATGCCTAGATCTCCTCCTCTTCCTCGCGTGTGGTGGAGGCGCGGGCATGGCTGGCTAGCTCAGGCCAGACAGAGGTGATGCTGGGGGAGGGGAAGCAACCCCCAGGTACGCTCTCTTTCCTACCTGTCCTGTGAGCCCATGTTCAGGGTGACAGGGGTGTGTGTCTGTCAGGTCCCTGGCTGAGCCGCAGGGACCAGGGTCGCCTTTCCCCACCTGCCTCCAGCCAGGGGTGTTTGTCCCTGCATCAGAGAGTAGCTGTCCTCTCTACTGCCATTGGCTGGCTTGAATGGAACCCAGGAGTCCTGAGCCCCAGCGTTCCATGGCTGTCAGCCTGTAGCTGTGAACCCGCCCAGCAAAGCGTCTGTCCTCCCCACCATCTGTGCTGCTCTGGGATTCACACCCATTGCGCTGGGATCGCCTGGACCTTTCTCTTAGGGGGCCCCTGCCCAGCAGCAGGTGTGACGGGTTCCCCCGGGGTGCCACCTGGAACTGGGGTACCACTGAGCCTGCCTGACCCACCAGCCTGGGCTCCCTCTCTCACTATGCTGCTGTAACAAGCTACAGAGCCCTCCAGCCTGCACTTTCACCAGCACCCATATGGGTAGGGACGCGCCCAGCTGCAGTTACATGCAGACACTCTGATCAGCTCTGCATGGAAAGGCTCCAGCTCAGGAACTTCCCAGCGACTCAGGCACTCACCCCCTCTGGAGTGTAAACCCAACATGATACCGTCTTGGGCTGCACAGAGAACTGGACAGCGTAAGCTCATGAAATTCTCCCCCTCCCTCACTGTGGAGAAGAATATACAACGGCTTTCTGCCCCGAGTTATGACTCCCACACCCTGGTTTTAGACAAAGCAAAAACAAGTTTATTAACTACAAAAGAGAGCTTTTAAATGATAAGTGATAGCAAGTGGATCAAAGCAGATTACCTAGCAAATAAACAAAACACGCCAACTAAGCTTAATATACTAAAGAGATTGGATCTGAATAGCACAAGCTGCACTTGCTTACAGCTTGGAATCCCCAGGTCTTTCAGACCCTTTAGCCTGGGTCCAGCACTTCCCCCAGTTCAGTCTTTGTTCCTCAGGTGTTTCCAGGAGCCCTCTTGGGTGGGGAGTCAGTGAAGGACCATGATGATGTCACTCCCCTGCCTTAAATAGCTTTTGCATAGGGCGGGAACCCTTTGTTTCAAAGCTTGGTTCCCACTCCAGTCAGTGGAAAAATACTGATATCCCAAGATGGAATCCAGCACCAGGTTGACCTGGTCACATGTCCCTATAGTGTCTCTGTAGCCATAACTGGGAGGCTGTCTGTAGCATCCTCAGGAAGGCGCCCAGGTGGGAGATAAGCTTCTCCTAAGCCCGATTGTTTTCCCTAATGGCCCTTCCCCACCCGGCTTTTCAGAATGAAAGTGTCTTTGTCTAGTGGGCATTCCCCAGTTGTAAACGCATTTGAAATACGGATACGTAGTCAATATTCCTAACTTCAGATACAAAAATGATACATGCATACGAATAGGATAATCATATTCAGCAAATCCTAACCTTTCCAATGACACCTCACATGACTTATCTTGCATAGAATACATTGTGATTGTCATCATCACATGATAATATCGTTGTGAAGAATATGGGGTGCAGCGTCACAGTGGCCTGTTCCCAGGCTCTGGAGGGCGGAGGGGTGACTGTACCTGGCCCTTCCCCCAGCCCTTTGTTCTCCAGCTGGTCACATCTGGCTGGCTTCCTGCACAGGGGGGGCCTTCCGTGGTCGCTAGGTGCCAAAATCCGGGCAACTGTTTCTGGGACTCTCTGTGGCATGGCCCCCAGGCCCAGACAGCCAGGTGTCCGTCACACCTGGATCTCTGCAAAGAGTAAACAACCTTTTCCCCCACCTAGTCAATCATGCAGCACATAGGGGAAACGGAGAGACACTCAATTCACATAAATTATGATGAAAAAATGCTCACTTCGTCACAGGAACACACAGAGGGACCCCCTGGGAAAATGCTGTTTTGGATGTTTTGCCCAGCGTCACACAGGAACTCTGGACAATTCTCTAGGGCAACAGTCAACTGCCCAAGCCAGGAGACCCTCTTGTCTCTTCCTGCCATCTCCTGCCTCATTCACTGTGCCCCTTCCAGCTTCTGCAACCAATGAGGCAGGGTCCTACAGACAACAGCCTCCTGCACTGCACAGTCCTGCTCCTTCCCCAGAGCAGGGCCTATCCGGTGCACTGATGAGGCAGGAAAAGCCTAGTATATTTTGACTGTCCTAATGCATACTTGCACAAGAGGCAGAGTTAAGGTGATACAGGCAGCCTTAGTTCTGGCATTTCCTAATGTGAGTGTTTGACTCTGCAGCTGCAACGTTCCTTTAACATAGCTCTTTGCATGTAATTCCTTAGTCTGCACAAAAGCAAACTGAAAAAAACAGCAGTTCCATCCTGCGGCATCATCAAATTGACCCCCAGGGATCATCAGCAGGGTTGGAACCTTTAGATCCACCCCCCAGAACTCTGCTGCTTGAGCTCACAGAGTAACTTGCAGCAGTAGAAGGTTGTCATCCTCTGTGTGGACCAGCATGAGGGAGAGACCCTTTGCCGGTGGGTTTCACAGCTATTTGCTGGCAGTCGAAGGGTGAGACTCAGGACTCCTGGGTTCTGTTCCCGGTGCTGGAGGGCAGATTGCCTGGCTCCCTGAGCAGTGGCCTCTCTTTGCCCACTCCATGGTGGCCTCCGTTCCCAGTGGTGGGAATTCCCCACCAGGGCGGAGCTAGCCAGGATGACCCCCATGCATCCCCTTTGCATGCAATCAGACTGCTGCCTCCCTGCCCGGCCAGGAGGGCAAAGTTCAAGACCCTATCCTGGCTGTCAGAGCCTTGGACAAACAACGGCGGGTCCATCGGCAAACCATCCCCCGCCTCCACCCACCAGCCAATCGGATTGGCTGTCCAAAGGCTGGCGCGGCGCCCTGCCTGCCATGGGCCGGCGGAGCTGTGCGTCTGTAGGGACCAGGGCTCAGGGCTCCCTCATTCCCACGTGTCCCCCGTTCTGAGATCGAAGCTGGCACCAGCCACCCTCTGACTGCTGGCTCTGTGCACACTAGCCGGGCCCAGGGCCCTATGAAGACACCACCTCCCTGTGGCCGCCAGGAGAGCAGGCAGGGTCCCTCCCCCGTGGGGTCGCTGGCTCTGGAGGGGTTCCCCCCCCTTCCCTGCAGAGGCTGAGAAATGGCCCCATTCTGCTTGTCCCCGCACCAGAGCTGCCCGGCCAGGTCTCTCTTCCCTGCAGTGCTGCGAGGGGGGATGGGGTGGGGGCGCTGCCGGGCTGGCTCCCAGGCCCTGCCCCTCTCACTGGGTTGTCGCAGATCTAGCCAGGGCCACCTTGCTGAAGCCTTGGAGTTCTGGGACTGTGGCCCTGGGTGGGCAGGGCAAGCCCCCATCAGCAGGGCTGCTTTGGGGCTAGCCGTGGGGCAGGCATAGCACGTGGCCAGCTATAGAGCATCCTGGGGGGACATGGTCAGTGCCCTGCAGCCAGTGCCACGCCAGATACACAGGTGGCAGGGCTAGCATGGCAGTGGGTGGGACAGCTGTGTCTCAGGGGGCTGTGGGCCCTGCCGTGCCTCGGGGTGCTGGGCGGTGCCAGGCTGGGGGGTGGGTGCAGGGTACACAGCCGGTTGGAGAGCTGCATTGGCTCTAATGGCTGCGTCTGTCCTGTTCTCAGAGCCCTTCCACCTCCGGTGCCGCAGGGAGAAGCTCCCGGACGGACTGCATGGCGGTGTGGGGTCGGGGTGCGCAGGCCGCAGGAAGTCTGGTGCGAGCTCCCCTCTACAGCCTAGGGCACAGTGTGGTGTGGGGATGGGAGCTGCGGTGCTCTGGGCTTGGTGATTCCTGGCACATGGTACTCTTGGGGCCAATCACAGGGATGCGGCGAGGGGGCCTGGCGAACGCACCTCTCCAGCCCCCCGCGGCGGGCGGGAGGGGCCGTCGGGTGGCAGATGGGCTGCCCTGGGGCCTCGCTTTCCAGGAGCGGGAGGCGGTGGCGGAGGAGCCCCGGCGTTGGAGAAGCGCGTTCCCGGTGCCCTGGGACTGCGCTGGGCTTGGGTGGCGCCCGTGCCCTGCGGGGTCCGGGGCTGGGCAGAAAGCAGACGTCTCCCAGCTGCGACCCCGGGGGGGCCGGGCCTGCCCCACACCTGTCGGTCGCATCGCCGGGGGGCAGGGTACAACTGGCAGGCCTCTCACTTGCTGTTTTCCCCACAGAGCCTGCCAAGCAGATTGTCAAGCAGCTGGGTGAGAAAGGTGAGCGAGTCCCCGGGATGACCCTCCCCCTCCTCCCCCCTGCACCCGCTTTGGGCTGGGCAGAGCTCAGCCCTCCCTGCTTGGCCAGCCGGCTGGCTGGGGCCCAGCGTGCCTGACCAGACGAACTGCCCCATCTGTCTTTATATCAGTGGCTCTCAAACTTTTGTCCTGGGGACCCCCTGAGTGAATAAATTAAAAACACCTTATAAATTAAAAACACTTTTTTATATATTTAACACCATTATAAATGCTGGAGGCAAAGCGGGGTTTGGGGTGCAGGCTGACAGCTCGTGACCCTCCCATATAATAACCTTGTGACTCCGTGAGGGGTCCTGACCCCCAGTTTGAGAACTCCTGCTTTATATGGTCATTACAATGGCGCCCTTCCCCCTCCCCCCGGGCCATTTGTGGTACTGCCAAGCCATTCCTGTGGCACCGCCTAGCTCACCCTGTGTGGTGCCCTGGGGGAGCAGGACTCGATGCCCTCACCCCAGCGTGCTGGCCTCCCCCAGCTGTGGGGGGGGTCCCCACTGCTCCGTGGCGTTGAGGGGCCTGCGGGCGCCACACTCTGCCCCCGGAAGCTGAGTCTCTGCTGGCACAAAGGGACCAGCCACCCAGCCCCCGTCTGCCCCCCCCCAGGCAGCTGCTCTAACCTTCCCTGCTCACACGTCAGCTCCCAACACCACAATCCGGGCGTTCGGCAGCCAGCCCAGCCTCACCGCCCTCGGCCCCCTGCAGCTCGTTCTGCCAGGGAGGGGCGGCATTGGGGTGATGCCCCTCCGCCAGCTCCCCTCGCGTTGCTGTGGCCCCGGTGCACGGTGACCCCTTTGCTAATCGCCTGTCTTCTCTCTTCCATGCGCTGGGAATGCGGCAGCAGGACTGAAGGTAAGATCACAGAGCCACAAGGTGAGACGGGACCGCAAGGGTCATCTAGCCTAGCCCCTGCCAAGATGCAGGATTTGTTGTCTAAGCCATCCAAGACCGCTGGTTATCCAGCCGCCTTCTGAAAACCTCCAGTGAAGGAGCTTCCTCGACCTCCCTAGGCAGGTCTGTTCCATTGTCCTCCTCTTCTTGCCATTAGGAAGCTTTTCCTGAGATTGAATCTAAATCTGCAGCGCTGTCGGTTGAACCCATTGCCTCTTGTCCTGCCTCTGTGGCAAGAGAGAGAAACTTTTCTCCATCTTTTTTTATGGCAGCCTTTCAAGTATTTGAAGACCACTATGATGTCCCCTCTTCATCTCCTCTTTTCCGAACTACACATACCCGGTTCCTTCAGCCTTTGCTCGTATGACTTGCATTCCATTCCTGTGATCATCCTTGTCACTTGCTTCTGGGTCCTTCCCAGTTTCTCTACATCCTTTCTATACGTTGGTGACCAACATTGGACACACTACTCCAGCTGAGGCCTAACCAATGCCGAGTAGAGCGGTACTATCACCTCCCATGACTTGCATGCTGTGCCTCTCTTAATGCAACCTAAAATTGCATTTGCTTTTTTGCAACAGCATCGCATTGCTGGCGCATGTTTTGGTTGTGATCCACCACAACTCCCAGATCCTTCTCAGCAATGCTGCTGCCAGAACAGTTTCCCCCCATTCTGTGTTTGTGCATTTGGTTTTTCTTCCCTAAGTGCAACACCTCATATTTGTCTTTGTTGAATTTAATTTTGTTGCCTATAGCCCAGTTCACCAATTTATCAAGATCCCTCTGAATTTAGCTCTATTTTCCCAAGTGTGGGTAACCTTCCCAGCTTTGTGTCATCTGCAGCCTTGGTCAGGTCTACATCCAGGTCAGAAACTCCACCAGACCCGGAACAGAGCCCCATGGAACCCCACTGGAGACCTCCCTCCAATCTGACATCATTCCATTAAGAGTCACTCTTTGTCTGCCGCTGTTTAACCAATTTTGTATCCACTTCATGGTAGTTCTGCCGAGCCCACATTTCTCCAGCTTTCCTAGCAGAATGTCATGTCGATTGTGTCAAAGCTCTGGAAGCCGCCTGAGCCTGGGGGCGGTGGGAGGGCGCGGAGGGGCTGAAGATGCCAGCTGAGTAGCAGTGGGCGTTGGGGGGGGTCTTGCCGCGATGTTTCTGTGCAGCCCGGGGTTCCTTGAACACTGTATGTGCATCGCACGCACGCAGCCCCCCTTTGCCAGTCACACGTACGTTCACACCCACGCGCTTGTGCCCCAGCACGCATGGCCTAGTGGCCCCCAGCTTTTTGCAGTCACATGGAATCAGGACAGGGGCTGGTGAGGGGGGGACACACCACGACTGGCCCTGTCGGGGCCCCGCCAGCAGCTCCGGCGCCCAGGGATGAGGTGGCCCTAAAGGGAGCCCTTGTTTGTCCCCTGAACAGCACGCCGACAGCACCGGAGCCCTCCTGGAGGCCGGGGCGCCCTTGCAGCTCCCTGGCAGCGCTTGGCGGCTGGCTGAGGGCGAGGGGGGCGCGGAGGAGGAGGAGGAGGAAGCAGCCATGGGGAAGGAGGAAGAGCAGGCCCTGGGGCAGGGCTCGCTGGAGGAGCTGGCTGTGAGTGACAGCCGCGAGACGGAAGCTGGGCCGGAGGAGGAGGAGGGCCCGGTGGGCGAGGAGCAGGTAGCTGACTTTGCGAGCTTCCTGCTGGCGACGCTGCACGGCTGGCACTATCGGGCCAACGCTTTGCTTTTCTCCCGGGGCCGCACGGTGAGGTGTCTTTCCAACCCCCTCTTGCATGCTGGCCTGGCGCATGGCTCGGGACTGCCTGCCCCCCCTGCTCTCCTCCATCTCCCACCTGCCGCCCTGCTCGGGGCAGGCTCATCAGCACCCCCGGCTGGATTGGAGCTATTAACCCTTCACTCACCTGACGGAGTGGCCGCTGTGACTCCCAGCATGCTTTGCACCTCCCCATCTAACCCCACTCATGGCTGGCTGGCATGCCAGAGGCGGCCCGTCTCTCGCGAGGGGAAGCTGGTCCGGTTCCCTTGGAGCAGGAAGGCGACGTGCAGCCGATCTGAACAGTGCCAGGTCTCCGCCGGGAGCTCTGACAGCGGAACCCGTCTGGGGCTGGCCGGCGGATCTCGCTCCACAGCTCTAGTGCCAGAACCAAGACCTCTAGGATGTTGCTCTGGAGGATGCTGGCGCTTGACCGGGTCGGAACTGGGCTGATGCTCTGGGGCTCTGAGGTTCTCGTCCCTCAGGCCGGCACGGTGCCACCATGGCTGTCTGAGCCGTGGCCCAGCGGTGTAACGCGTCCCCTTTACTGTGTTTCAGAGCAAGGGGCCCAAGGGAAGCCAGGAGCCAGGGAGCCCCGAGAACCGTCGCAGTGCAGAGACGGCCTCGGCCATCCTGGAGGTGAGTGAGAGACGACCCCATGGGGGTGAATGGGCCACCCCTCCCATTATCCTTCACCGAGCCCGGGGGGTTGGGCGCTGCGCAGACCCGAGGTCGGAGGGACCCCATTGGCCTGAGTGCTGCCCAGAACACCCCATCCGCACAGCCAAGGGGGGGTGGGCTGTCAAGCTGGGCGCTGCACAGACACTGGCCTAGCCCCAAAGAGCTCCCAGCCAAAGGGAGACAGGCACCTCCCTGTGCCACTGAGGTCTCCCAGCGGGGCAGTGATGGAGCCAGGATAGATCGCAGGTGTCCTGAGTCTCGGCTCACTGCCTTCGTACCGCCGGAGCAGCGACCTCCTGACCAATGAGCGTTTGCACTTCACTATAGCACCTTCCGCCTGTGAATTTCACAGCCCACTGCAAGGGCCTGTTCACCCAACACCGCCCTGCCAGGTAGTTGGACTGCTGGAGATTGGGAAACTGAGGCACAACGAGGTGGGATGATGCAGCGAGAGAGCGACAGCACCAGGACCCAGTCGTCGTCTTGTCCTCTGCTCTTACCACTGCTCACAGTGGCTCCCTAAACCTGGGGCTAGAACCCAGGAGTCCTGACTCCCAGCCCCCTGCTCTAACCACCAGAGCCAGGGATAGAACCTGACTCCTAGTGCATCTCTTGCCACTAGCCAACATCCCCTTCCTTTTCCCTGGCTGATCGGTGGGAGTTGCCGAGTCTGTCTCCAGCCAGCCTGCCCCTGTACCTCTGAAGGAGAAGACCCCTTCTTGGCTTCCTTCAAGGGGGCATTGAAGGAAATCAAAAATGGTAACTTGATAACCAGTGAAAGGCAATTAACCCCCTTTTCACCCAACGGGTGATCAGCCTGTGGAACTCCCTGCCACAGGAAGGTTGGGGGAGGGCCAGGAGCTGAGCAAGATGAGAAAAAAAACATTGGACACTTGTATGGCGATCAATGTGCAGCGTAAGACAGCAGCGAGTGCTTCAAACATTGGGGCATGAGATCAATGTGAAGGCCGATTATCTCCCAGCAGCTGCCGCAGGGGTCCTACTTCTGGCACGGGCTGGGGTCAGAGCTGGGGCACCAGCCCGGCAATTCCCCTGTGCCTCAGAATCCGCAGGAATCCCGGGCTCCTTCCCACCCTGGAGGAGACGAGCCAGCGCCCCAGGGATGGTGTGTCGGGCGCTGGGTCAGGGTGGGCGGGCTGCTGTTTGGGGAAGCACACGCCTCCACTCACTCTCCATGCTGCCCCGCAGGCTGCCCCGGAGCCCACTGAGCTCCCCGAGGAAGAGCGCCCTGAGGAGTCCCCTGAGGCCGCGAGCACCCCCGAGCCGGCCCAGCAGAGGGCGATGGAGCAGGAGCAGAGCCTGGCCATGGCGGAGAACGTGGAGGACCTCAAAGCCCTGAGCAGCGAGGAGGAGGAGGAGGAGGAGACCAGGGCGAGGAGCATTCTGCCCCCGTCCGTGCTGGACCACGCCAGCCTCATCGCCGAGATGTTCGGCAGCAGCTTCTCACGGCGCAGCAGCCTGGCGCTGGAGGAGGGCCGGCCCGGGGGCTTCCTGACGCCCAGGCTGGTCAGCCGGAGCAGCAGCATGCTGAGCCTGGAGGGCAGCGAGAAGGGGCAGGGCCGCGGCAGCGCCGCCAACTCCCAGGGCCGCATCTCGCCGCCAGGCTCCACCCGCAGCGGGGCCGCTTCGCCCGGCCCCTTGGAGCCCGAGCGCACCCCCTGCCACAGGAAAGAGTCCATGCTCTCCCAGCGGGACCGGCTGCTGCTGGACAAAATCAAGAGCTACTACGAGTGCGCGGAGCACCGCGACGCCGGCTTCAGCATCCGGCGCCGGGAGAGCCTGTCCTACATCCCCAAGGGGCTGGTGAGGAACTCGGTCTGCCGCCTCAACAGCCTCCCGCCCCCGCCGCCAGAGCAGCACGCCGACGCCAGGCGGGGAGCGGGCGGCGCGGGGAGCGGCGGGCGGACAGCCGCCTGGGTGCTGGCGGGCGTCCCCACCGCCGGGCCCAGGCCCGAGCCCAGCACCCCCGTCGCCGAGGAGGAGTTCCGCCCGCCCGCCGAGATGATCAAGGTGTGGGAGGGCATGGAGAAGCTGAGTGCCGGCCAGCCCTGCCCGGAGAGGGGCAGCGGGGAGGGCACAGCTGGCGCCACCGCCGCGTGGCCCATGGGCAGGAGCCAGGAGAACGGCTTGGACCTGCACGAGCCGCTGCTCATCCTGGAGGACGACGAGCTGAGCGCCATCGCGGAGGAGTCAGCCGGGCCCTCGCCCGAGAGCCGGTCCCCCACGGAGCGAGCGGGGCCCGCCAGGCTGGCCGGCCAGCTGCAGAGACTGGCGCAGGAACTGGGCCACCCCGCCAAGCCGCGCCCCCGGGTCCCGCCGCTCTCGGAGGCCGAGCTGAGCGAGCGCCTGAAGAACAAAGTGTACCAGCTGGCGCGCCAGTACAGCCTGCGCATCAGGAACCGCCAGCCAGCCGGGCACAGGCGGCTTGCCAAGCTGGAGGAGCTGAGGAGCTGCGCAGCATCCCCCCCGCGTGATGGGCACCAGGAGGTGAAGAGAAGCACAGGTGGGTGCTCCCCGGTCTGTGGGGCTGGGTAGGAGGGCTGGCACAGAGCAGGGAAGGCTCCGTGGGGCCGGGTAGGAGGGCTGGCACAGGGCAGGGAAGGCTCCGTGGGCCGTGGGGCTGGGTAGGAGGGCTGGCATGGGACAGGGAAGGCTTGGTGGGCTGTGGGGCTGGGTAGGAGGGCTGGCACAGAGCTGGCCAGACTTCCCAGGGCTGGGACAGGGCAGGGAAGGCAGGTGCCCCCGGCTCTGGCCCCTCCGCTCACCAGCACATGTGATTTCCCCCCAGACCCGCGGAAGAAGCCGGCGCTGTCTCTCGCGACCTTTGAGCAGGTGGTGCTGCAGGAGTACAGCCCCCGCACGCCGCTCTCTGCCACCGCCTCCTCGCAGGACAAGTCGCCCAAGTGCTTCTCCTACAGCCCCTCCTGCCCCACCTCGCCCGGCAGTGGCACCTCGCCCGGCCCCTCGTCCTGCAGCCCACTCAGCCCCATTGTGGCGGAGACGTTCACCTGGCCCGACGTGCGGGAGCTGCGCTCCAGGTACTCCTTCGGCACGGCCTTCCCCGGCCCACGCCGGCCCCCCCCAGTCAACAGGAGCCAGTCGGCGCCGGAGAAGATGGTGGCCGAGCTGCCGGGAGGCGTCCCGGGACAGGAGGGCTGGCGCGGGCTGGAGAAGAGCCCCGGGAGGGACCGGAGCACTGAGGAGAGCCCAGACCCCAGCGCCCGGCAACGCCAGAGGAACCAGAGCGCTGGCTCACTGCGCATCACCGCAGAGGCCATGCTGGGCGACCAGCGGGTCATCGTGCTGGAGAAGGTGCCGTGCGGCGGGGACCCACCTGCCCCCGAGGAGCCGCCCGATGCTGCCAGCTACGTGCAGATCCGCTCGCCCACCTCGCGGGAGCGGATCTCGCTCAAGGCCGTGGCGGAGCGCTGCAAGGCCTACCAGGAGTCGGACGAGTCCCGGCGGCTGGAGGAGGGCCCGGCCCCCGAGCCCAGCCGGGCTGCGGGCTGGGAGCAGGCAGCCGCCGGCCAGCACGGCCGCGTGAGGAGCCTGCGGGAGAAGTTCCAGACCCTGAACTCTGCCAGTTGAGTGGACGCCTGGCCTGCCCGGCTCATGAGGGGGAGGCCGGACTTGTGTACATAGCGAGCGCCTTCCTCCTCCCCCCGCCTACGCCCCCCACCCGCATGGGACTAAACCCCCAGGACCAGGCTGGGCCATGGCCAGAGACCTGCTCTCATTGGGGGCTCTGCGCTGAAGCATGCACCTGCAGATCCTGCGCTGGCAGGAGCAGCGGGCAGTGCCCACCACCAGGACCTTGGCGCAGAGTCTGCCCACCGCCCTGGGGCTGATCTTTGGCAGCCCTGCAGGCACGAGGGGCTGTGCTGCTGGCCAGTCCTGGAGGAGGAGGGTGAATTGCTCTCGGCCGTGCTGGGTGAAAGGGAGCGTGGTGTACCTGGGTGCCCCACGCAGGGCGGCTGTATACATCAGGGTCATGTTGGCTGTACACACACTTCAGTGCAATAATCACCCCTCTCGCCTCCTGCCTGCCTCCTCATGTCTCCTGCAGCCTCGGCACCCCTGCTATTCGGGGAGGGGAGGCAGCGCGGCCTAGTGGGCAGGTGCCCGTCTCGCTATGTGTGCAGCACCTGGCGCGTGTGGCCCCTGCGCTCGGCTGGTGCGGTAGTACGGGGGGCACAGCAGACAAAGGGGGGAGGTGCGCTCTCCCTGGGGCAATGCTGTGGGAGACACTCACCCAGGCTCTGAGGTTGGCACAGGCTGTGCAGGGCAGCTCTGGCTTCTTCCTGTGCCAGTGCTCCCCACTTGGAAATGGGGCGGGAGCCCAGGGCTGGGCCACCCAGGCAGCGGGGGGTGCTGTGAGCTCCCCTCCTCTAGGGGGCGTCACTCTTGGATAGGGCCGGGGAGGGGCCAGCGCCCCTTTGTCCTATGGGTCCCGCCCTGAGAGCGACACCGCTACCCCCTACAGCTCCCAGGGCAAGGACGCTGAGCGCCCCCACCTGCCCTTAGCCTGATGGCTGGTTGCTAGTGGTGCCCCTCTCCACTGGGCACTGCCTGTGATGCTCTTGTTCTGGCAGCTCGTGCTGAGCCCAGCTATGGCAAGGGGGCAGTGCCATCTCCGCTCTCGGGGCTGGGGGTGAGGCTGCTTTGCTAGGCCGGGTCTCCTACAGAACCAGGCACAGGCTGGGTTTGAGGACCTCGGCTCAGTGGGCTGCAGCACAACGGGGCCCCCTCCCCACAGCACTGCTATCGCCCACTGAGTGCCCGGTGCTGCGCTCTCCTGCGGGGGAAGAGGGCAGGACGGTGCATGGGGCAGTGGGGGGGGGAGAAAGGAGGCAGGGCCGTGCATGGGGCAGTGGGGCTGGGCCATGCGTAGGGCAGTGTGGTATGCATAGTGATCCCCTGGCCACAGCACTGCAGCATTGTCCTTAGTGCATTATTCCTGGGCGTGTGCCCCCCACGGCCCCCTGCTTGCCAGTGGCTGACCCAGCCATACTAGGGGCACAGTAAGGAATATCTACGGCCCACCCTGCAGCTCCAGGTTCTGTGGGAGGTGGGGCTCACGGGGCTGGGATCACACCTCCCTGCCCACCTCCTAACCCCCACCCTGCCATGGGTACTGGATGAGCATAAACCAGGCTGGGCCGAGGGCTGGGCGCTGCCTGCCTGGCCTCTGCCCAACAAGGGGCTGCTACTGCCTGTGAGCCAGGGCAGGGCCAGCCTCTGAGCTGGGCTAAAGCCGAGAGTCCCGTGTGGCCCTGGGTGACTCCCCACTGTGCCCCAACTGCGCTGTCTGCTGGGGGCTCACTTGCCCCCCAGCCCGCAAACACTTACACATGTGCCTCATTGCAGGCTCTGGCCTCACCCCGTGGGATCCAGCAATGGAAAATTCAGTGATTCAAAACCATCCACTCCTCCCCCTCAAATAGATCGCTGACCGACCTCCCCAATACCTCGCTGACCGCCCACTGATAGATCACTGTGACTGTGCCCCCAATCGACCATTGTGCAGCTGCCACATGCCCCCAGAGACAGCACTGTACAAATGCCCCATTCCCTGATATATCACACTGCAGCTGCACTCCCAAAACTTCACTGTACAAATGCCACATGCCCCCCACTATGTTATGGTGCAAACACCCCTGCCCTGATAATCACTGGGCAAAGGCACCCCCAAAACTTCTCTGTACATATGCCCCAGCCCCCGATCTCACTGTGAAAACACCCCAATCGATCCCTGTATAAGTGCCTCGCATCCCCTCACTGTATCACTGTGCAAATGTCACATGCTGATATCTCTGCAAATGCCCCAGACCCAATATAGCCCTGTGCAAATACCCCAATAGATCATTATGCAAATGCCACTCCCCGATATTGTACAAACATCCCCAATAGACCACTGCGCAAATGCCCACTGCGTGCCCCCGATAGCACTGTACAAATGCCCCATTTCCCTGCTATGGCACTGTATTGACACCCCAGACCCCCGCTATCTCCCCTTGCAAACACTCTCCAATAAATGCCACATGCCACCCCCCCACCGCTATCTCACTGTGCAAACGCTGCAGACCCCAAGAGATCCCTGTACAAACGCAACATGGCCCCCGGTGTAGCACTGTGGCAATGCCCCTCCTGCTAGATCACTGTGCAAACACGACAGCCCCCTGCCCCGAGCTCACTCTGCAAATGCCCCGGCCTCCTGAGATTGCACTGTGAAAACGACACCCACCACCCACTGTCCGAACACCCGTGGCCCCCTGGTATAGCACTGTGCAAATGCCACACACCTCCCCCAATAGATCACTGGGCAAATATCCCATGTCTGATATATCACTGTGAAAACACCCCCCCACACACACTTATCATTATACAAACACCCCCAATAGATCACGGGACAAAGGCCACACTCCCCCGCCCTGGCATATCACTGTGCACATGCCAGCTGCTCTGTGCAGGGGCTGGGCCTGGCCCCGGAGCTGATGAGATGTACGGGCATGTGACCCGCGGGTGAGTGTATTATAGGCCCGGTTTTGGCTGAGCCCTGGAGGCCAGGAGCCTGTGACACCTGCTCCCGGTGCAGCCCTGGCGCTTTACAGGAAACTCCTGGTTCTGTCTCCTGTGCGGCAGCTGCCGGCCCGGTTCTGTCCACGGCGGGGAAGTTACTGCTCGTCCCGGCCTTTGTGTTTCAGCCCTTCTGCCTGGAACTGTCACCGTCACACACGTGCCTGGCTAGCTAAAGGCCGTCTGTGGCGCCCATCACCATTGTATCTGGGTGTCTCCCCTCTGCGGTGCTGCGATGCCCGTGGGACTCGGAGACGTCAAGCTTGGCTCCACAGAACACGCACTGGGGCGTTTAGCTGGCGCCAGCCCCGCGGAGTCTGCATGGGCCAGTGAGCGTGCAACACGCCGAGGTGCTGGCGAAATCACCCCCCTCCGAGCCCCGCCGCCGAGCCCTGAGAGCACGTCCGCACCACAGACCGTGTGGTGGCACCCCAGCATGGGCCGGGGGAGACGGGGACCCAAGTCCCTGCCTCGTTACAGCCTCCCTGTGGGACCGCAGGGCACGGCCACGCTGCAGCTGGAGGGGGGATCGGAGCACAGGTGTGCCTCCCTGTGCCAGCTTTCATCTCACTCGTGGGGTGATGGGGCAGCCCTGGGGACCTTGGCTAGGCATGTGCCACCAGCCCTTTGCTGCTATTTGAGGGGTGGAGCAGATGAAGCCGGCGTTACACAGCTAGGTCTAAGTGAGCCGCCGTAAGTGTATCCGAGCTGTAATCGCACCTGCCCGTGCAGAAATACCCACATCACCTGCCCGGGCCACGCCGGCCAGCAGCCTACTCCAGAGTAGGGAACTGGGCCCAGGTCTTCCAGCACCTCAGCCCGTGCCCTGACCACTGCTCTGCCCTTGCCACGCTGCAGCATGCCCCAAAGGAGGTGCAAGTGCCTAGCGCAGAGGGCTGGGTGTTAGGGGTGTGGAGCCCTGGGAGGGAGGGGGGGCATGCTGCTCCCAGCCGCTTTCTAATGGGGCCTTAGGGAGCTGCCCCCAGTTGCAGGGGGCCTGGGTCCAGACACGGTTTGGCCCTGTTGCCAATTCCCAGCCTCGCACCAGCTGCCAGGCTCTCAACTTCTCTCCGGTTGGGCCTCCAGGAAAGTCGCTGGGGGACATTTCCAGAGGTGCCTCAGGGCCATTGGCGAAGCTCTTCGGGCACCTACAGATGCAGAGCTGCACCTAGGGGCTTTTCAAATCCCCACTCGGCACCTTGCTGTATCTGTAGGTGCCTAAAACCCTTCATAAATTGGACCAAGAGCCTAAACCCCCTTGGCTTTCCCAGAGACTTGGGCTCCCAAGTCACTTAGCTGCTTTGGGAAACGTTCCCCTTGGGCCTCTAAAAAGTCCTGTCCTCTGTGCGCTGCTTTCCCCGCCCTGGTGGTTCCTGGCTGGTTGAGCCAGCACCGTTCAGCCGACGCGCCCTTGCCAGCCACTGCACAGGAGGGTTGTTATCGCAGATGCTCTTCCGCAGCAGCAGGGCTCCCTGCGGGTTCGTCTGGATTCCCCGCCGCTCGGCACAGAAACGGTCTTTCCCGGACCCCTAGGAACGTAGGGCGGGTTGGGCCCTCTAGTCCTGCCCCTGCGCTGAGGCAGAACCCCAGACCAGCCCTGACGGGCGTCTGTCCACCCTGTTCTTAAAACCTCCACAGCCTGCCTGGGTAACCCGCTCCAGGGCCTAATATCTAACCCGACTCTTCTGTACAGTACTGCAAATTAACCTCATTCCTTCTCATGGCGGCACCCCTGGTTGGGGGAGGCTAGCCCCCTGTCCCCCCTCCCTTCTGCCCGAGGCCCTGCCCCTACTGGGCTCCCATCATCCCCCGCTCTCGCCCCCCAGGGCCGGAGGAGCCCTGAGCCCCCACCGTGGCCAGAGGAGCTCTGGCTGGCCTGGCCAACAGCCCCGTGCACTGGCCTGCTTACCCGAGCTGCCCCAGTCTGCTGCCCGAGCTGCCCTGGCCCACCTGAGCTCGCCCACCCAAGCTGTCCCGAGCCCTGGCCACCCAGAGAAGATTTGAGCCCCGCCGCGACCCAGCCCAGGGACCATTAACAGAGGTTTAAGCCTCCATTACATGCCTCCCATGTTCCTTCTTCTCCTACCCTGGGTGGCCATGGAGACCAATTGATCCCTGTTCCCTTTATAACCACCTTTGACACCTCTGAAGCCTGTTCTCAGGTCCCCCCGCCACCTTCTCTTCTCTAGACTAAACACACCCAGTCCTCAAAGCTTCCCTCAGAGGCCAGGTTTGCTAAACCTCGGACCATTTTTGTCGCTCTCCTCTAGCTTCTCTGACTTTGTGCACATCTCTCTCCACGTGTGCTGCCCCAGACAGGGCACAGGCCTCCAGCGAAGGCGTCCCCCAGTGCTTTGTCTGACCCTGGTGTGAAACCCGCTGGGTAAAATCAAAACAAGATGCCTCAGCCAGAGAGGGGTTTGGCTTATTTATTTCTTAGAAAAAACCATTAT